GCTTTCGTGATCATTCGAGATGTGTTACATCAATGTTTTCTCTGATTCTTAAGGGGACTTTTGTAAAGTGTGGGCAGATCGCGTACTTGTAATTTCGGATATGCAATGAGGGGAGCCATGCAGATGATGGAGTTCGTCATGTAGAATTGTCCAGACCTTGCAAGTTGATAATAACATGATATCGTCCCTCGATGATGTCAGTAGTTTCATATTTGATGTTGTTTTGCAACGTCAAATGTTGCTCATTGAAGCTCCTCTGAATGATGCAAAAATGGTGTAAAATACAGTTTATTTTGCACTGACGTGAAGCAAACAGAGTTGCCTACGATTCTTGGCGCTGAGTTTTTCCTGTTTTCTGGTGTAGTAGGATTAGGCGTAAAATTTAACGGCACGCACTGTCAGCTTTCGCATTCCCGTACATATTCTGATCATCGTGACACCGGCAGAGTTCTTTGCCTAACCTAGTACCATGTTAAATGCTAGAAACACTAGCATCCAATTGAACCTTAGATAATTCGAGCAAATGTTGCATGATACAAATACATGTTCATCTCATTTTAAAAAAAACTTGTAATTAAATATATCTTCGGCTGTAACTTAGCCGTATTGCATTTTAGTTTCAAATTCACTGTTCTTCCTTAAATTTGATTACTTAATAAATTTAGCTTATCAGGTTATATTATTGCATATAGGCTGTTTATGCTTTATTTCTTTTGAGATTTTAGCGCAGTTTAACAACGTTGTTTATTCGGCTAGTGATTTTAGTGTGACGCGGTAGATATTCATTTGTTTTGGCAGCTTAATGATGAACTTTAGCTAGCTAACTGAAAATTTTTAGTTGGTTTTATGCCAGTTACCGTGAATGGCTGTCAAAAAATGAAGTAAAGAAATACTTCAGATATATTCTATTTCAATGGTTAGTTCAGCCCTTTGCATTTGAGTGTTGAGCAGATCAGAAAATTTTTCATCTGTTTTAGAGACATTCCGTCAAACTATTTCTATTATTTTGATTTAAATGAGCCAATTTGTCTAATTTTAGACCTATCCAGATCCGGTAAGGATCGTCAGTATCGGCGTTACGGTGGAACAGCTACTAGAAGATCCGGATGGTCCTGCGGCCAGCAAAACATCCGTCGAATTTTGCGGTGGAACGTAATTTCAATGTCATGCTTTATTAATTAATATGCACTGTGATAATTGATTGTAACGATTTCTCTCGGGTACTTTCTCAGTGCAGTTCCAGGCAAAAGTTTAGGGTTGTCCGCAGTGTAGTTTTCTGTCTTTCTTTTGAGAATTTTTCTCCTTGAGCTAAACAGGTTTGCATATGTTTATTCTTCATCAGTTCTTTCGAGTATTTTTATCTTGTTACTGAAAAGGCCTTGCTACCATCGATCAATTTCTTATGTAGAACATATGTCTCATGAAAGCAGAAATCATAGTCAGATAGATTGAATGGAACGTGTAAGGATAAGTTAAGATATAAATATGAGATGCTGTTTATCTGAGACTAAGCATGTATTGCTGATCTGGTCAGTCCTGTTGCTAAAGTTTTGTTAGCCTTGTATAGCAGTCACAGTCACCATATCATCAGCCTTTTTCGATCCACTGCTGGATGAAGACCTCTCCAAGACTTTGCCTAGACTTCTGCTTTCTGTCACCTTCATCCGTCACGATTCAGTCAACGTCTTCATGCCATTTTTCTATCCTCTTGGAAATCTTCCTGTGAGCCGTTTACTCTCTCTTGGAACAAAGTCTAACGTTTCTCGTCTGTCCATGTCCGTTCCTTCTTATAGAGTACCCTGCCCATTGCCATTTGAACCTCCTCACTGAGACAGTGACATCTTGGCCTCTTCTTCGTATCTTTTCTTGTTATTCCCAACAGATGTCTTTTCATTCTGAGTTGCGTAGTATGCAGTTTGTGAATAGCTTTCATGCTTAGGACCCACCTTTCCCACGCATAGGTTGGCACTTGGAGCATGCACGCACTGATAGAATACTTTGCATTTCAAACGCAGCGGCAATTTCCCTGATATGAACATTTTCAGTCTCTCAAATATTCCATACTGCTTCTATTATTGTTTGTTATTTACCGTACTCGGTTCTCCGTTGAGAGAAGAGCTGTCTCAGATAGACGTAGTTTTGCACTTCTTCTAGCCTAAGTCCGTTGACTTCAACACGACGCGGGGTCACTTGGTTCATAAAATTTTTCAGGTTCATATTTGATCTTCCTGTGATACCAAGCTCTTGGATTCTTTTCTGTAGTTCTGCTGGCGACCCTGAAAAGATCAGAATATTGTCTGCAAAGCACAGCAGGTTTAAGTAGTGCCCATTATGTTGAGCCCCTGATTTTTCAACCGAAGTGTCTCGAAAACATCTTCTAGAGCTGCTGTAAATAATTTCTGTAATCTCCTTTTTCGATTTTGGGCTTGCTTGTGTTTTCATGAAACTTTACACTAGCTGTTACATTCTTGTAAAGTATCCCGATGAGTTTTTTTTATATCGTTGAGAGTATAACAGTGACAGTGGCAACAAGAAGCATTCCCGAAATCTGAATGTCTTTACCGTATTTATTCTTGTTTTAATTGTTATACATATGAAAATCTAGTGCTTCAAGCTTCAAATGACTGGGTAGGATGAGGATATGGAACAAT